GTCTGTCAGCTGTTGTCTCGTGTGTCTGTCAGCTGTTCGTCTCAAGTGTGTGTCTGTCAGCAGTGTGTCTCTCGTGTGTCTGTCAGCTGTTTGTCCCTGTGTGTCTGTCAGCTGTTTGTCTCAAGTGTGTGTCTGTCAGCTGTTTGTCTCTCAAGTGTGTGTCTGTCAGCTGTGTTTGTCTCAAGTGTGGTCTGCAGTTGTTTGTCTCAGTGTGTCTGTCAGCTGTTTGTCTCGCGTGTGTTGTCAGCTGTTTGTCTCGTGTGTCTGTCAGCTGTTTGTCCTGCGTGTGTGTCTGCCAGTGTTTGTCTCGGGTGTCTGCAGTTGTTCCGAGGTGTGTCTGCGCTGTTTCTCAAGGTGTGTCTGTCAGCAGCGTGTCTGTCGTGTGTCTGCAGCAGTTGTCTCAAGTGTGTGTCTGTCAGCAGTGGTCTCTCGTGTGTCTGTCAGCAGTGTGTCTCTCAAGTGTGTGTCTGCAGCTGTTTGTCTCTCAAGTGTGTCTCAGCAGTGTGTCTCTAAGTGTGTGTCTGTCAGCTGTGTGTCTCTCTCAAGTGTGTGTCTGTCAGCTGTGTGTCTCTCCAAGTGTGTCTGTCAGCGTTCTCTCAAGGTTTCAGCTGTTTGTCTCTCAAGGTGTGTCTGCCGCTGTTTGTCTCAAGTGTGTATCTGTCAGCTGTTTGTCTCAAGTGTGTGTCTGTCAGCTGTTTGTTCGGTGTCTGTCAGTGTGTGTGTCTCTGGTGTCTGTCAGCTGTTTGTCTCAAGTGTGTGTCTGTCAGCTGTGTGTCTCAAGTGTGTGTCTGTCAGCAGTGTGTCTCAAGTGTGTGTCTGTCAGCTGTGTGTCTCAAGTGTGTGTCTGTCAGCAGTTGTCTCAAGTGTGTGTCTGTCAGCGTGTCTCGCGTGTGTCTGTCAGCAGTGTGTCTCAAGTGTGTGTCTGTCAGCAGTGTGTCTCTCAAGTGTGTGTCTGTCAGCAGTGTGTCTCTCAAGTGTGTGTCTGTCAGCAGTGTATCTCAAGGTGTGTCTGTCAGCAGTGTGTCTCTCAAGTGTGTGTCTGTCAGCTGTGTGTCTCAAGTGTGTGTCTGTCAGCAGTGTGTCTCTCAAGTGTGTCTGCCAGGTTCTCAAGTGTGTGTCTGTCAGCAGTGTGTCTCTCAAGTGTGTGTCTGTCAGCAGGTGGTCTCAAGTGTGTCTGTCAGCAGTGTGTCTCATGTGTGTGTCTCTGCGTGTGTGTCTGTCAGCAGTGTGTCTCTCAAGTGTGTGTCTGTCAGCAGTGTGTCTCTCAAATGTGTGTCTGTCAGCAGTGTGTCTCTCAAAGGTGCAGTTGTGTCTGCAGGTGTGTCTCAAGTGTGTGTCTGTCAGCAGTGTGTCTCTCAAGTGTGTGTCTGTCAGCAGTGTGTCTCAAGTGTGTGTCTGTCAGCAGTGTGTCCTCAAGTGTGTGTCTGTCAGCAGTGTGTCCCTCAAGTGTGTCTGTCAGCAGTGTGTCTCTCGCGTGTCTGTCAGCAGGTGTCTCTCGTGGTCTGTCAGCAGTGTGTCTCAAGTAAGTCTGTCAGCAGTGTGTCTCTCTGTGTGTGTCTGTCAGCAGTGTGTCTCTGGCGTGTGTCTGTCAGCAGTGTGTCTCTCAGTGTGTCTGTCAGCTGTTTGTCTCAAGGTGTGTCTGTCAGCTGTTGCTCATCCAGTGTCTCATGTGTCTGTCACTGTGTTCCCGGTGTGTCTGTCAGCTGTTTGTCTCTCAAGTGTGCTGTCAGCTGTTTGTCTCGTGGGTGTCAGTGTTTTCTGGTGTGTCGTCAGTTGTTTGTCCTGCGTGTCTGTCAGCTGTTTTCAAGTGTGTGTCGTCACGTTTGTCTCTGGTGTGTCGTCACGTTTGTCTCTCAAGTGTGTGTCTGTCAGCTTTGTTGTCTCGCGTGTGTCTGTCGCTGTTGTCTCAAGTGTGTGTCTGTCAGCTGTTTGTCTCAAGTGTGTGTCTGTCGCTGTTTGTCTCAAGTGTGTGTCTGTCGCTGTTTGTCTCGAGTGTGTGCTGTCAGCTGTTTGTCTCAAGTGTGTGTCTGTCAGCAGTGTCTCAAGTGTGTGTCTGTCAGCAGTGTGTCTCAAGTGTGTGTCTGTCAGCAGTTGTTCCAAGTGTGTGTCTGTCAGCAGTGTGTCTCAAGTGTGTGTCTGTCAGCAGTGTGTCTCGCCTGCCTCAGGTGTCTCCAGCAGGTCTCAAGTGTGTGTCTGTCAGCAGTGTGTTCTCAAGTGTGTGTCTGTCAGCTGTGTGTCTCTCTCAAGTGTGTGTCTGTCAGCAGTGTGTCTCTCAAGTGTGTGTCTGTCAGCAGTGTGTCTCTCATGTGTGTCTGTCAGCTGTTTGTCCACGTGTGTATCTGTCAGCAGTTTCTCAAGTGTGTGTCTGTCAGCTGTTTGTCTCAAGTGTGTGTCTGTCAGCTGTGTGTCTCTCAAGTGTGTGTCTGTCAGCTGTTTGTCTCAAGTGTGTGTCTGTCAGCTGTGTGTCTCAAGTGTGTCTGTCAGCAGTGTGTCTCAAGTGTGTGTCTGTCATGTTGTCGTGTGTGTTCAGCAGTGTCTCAGGTGTCTGTCAGCTCGGTCTGTCAGAGTGTGTCTCAAGTGTGTCTGTCACAGTGTGTTGTCTCCCAGGTGTCTCAAGTGTGTGTCTGTCAGCAGTGTGTCTCTCCAGTGTGTCTGTCAGCAGTGTGTCTCTCAAGTGTGTCTGTCAGCTGTGTGTCTCTCGTGTGTCTGTCAGCAGTGTGTCTCAAGTGTGTGTCTGTCGTCCAGCAGTGTGTCCTCAAGTGTGTGTCTGTCAGCAGTGTGTCCGTTCTCAAGTGTGTGTCTGTCAGCAGGTGTCTCTCAAGTGTGTGTCTGTCAGCAGTGTGTCTCAAGTGTGTGTCTGTCAGCAGTGTGTCTCAAGTGTGTGTCTGTCAGCAGTGTGTTCTCAGGGCCAGTGGCTGTCACAGTGTCTCTCAAGTGTGTGTCTGTCAGCAGTGTGTCTCTCAAGTTGTGTGTGTCAAGCAGTGTCTCAAGTGTGTGTCTGTCAGCAGTGTGTCTCAAGTGTGTGTCTGTCAGCAGTGTGTCTCTCATGTGTGTCTGTCAGCAGTGTGTCTCTCAAGTGTGTGTCTGTCAGCAGTGTGTGTCTCAAGTGTGTGTCTGTCAGCAGTGTGTCTCTCAAGTGTGTGTCTGTCAGCAGTGTGTCTCTCTCAAGTGTGTGTCTGTCAGCAGTTCTCAGTGTGTCTTCACAGTGTGTCTCAAGTGTGTGTCTGTCAGCAGTGTGTCTCAAGTGTGTCTGTCACAATGTCTCTCAAGTGTGTGCCTGTCAGCAGTGTGTCTCTCTCAAGTGTGTGTCTGTCAGCAGTGTGTCTCTCTGCGTGTGTCTGTCAGCAATGTGTGTCTTCCACTTTCTTCCCTCTTCCACCACCCACCCTCTTTCCACAATCCAACTCTCTTCCACCACTCCAATTCTTCCACCACTCCACCCTCTTTCCAACCACCCAATCTCTCTTCTACCTTCCACCCTCTTTCTACCACCCACCCCTCTTCCACCACCCACCTCTTCCACCACCCAATCTCTTCTTCCACCACCCACCCTCTTCCACCACCCATCTCTTCACCACTCCACCCTCTTCCACCACCCACCCCTCTTCTACCACACCTCTTCTACCACCCACCCTCTCTTTCTACCAATCTAATCTTCCACCTTCTTCCACCCCTCTTCCACCTTCCACCCTTTTCCACCATCCCACCTCTCTTCCACCACCCCACCCTCTTTCCACCACCCACCCTCTTCCACCACTCCACCCCTCTTCCACCACCCACCCTCTTCACCACCCACCTCTCTACCACCCACCTCTTCTACCAACCCAATCTTCTTCACCACACTCCACCTCTTCTACCACCCCCCTCTTCTACCACCCACCCTCTTCTACCACCCACCCTCTTTCCACCTTCTTCCACCCTCTTCCACCTTCCACCCTTTTTCACCTCACTCCACCCCCTCCTCCACCCCTCTTCCACCTTCCACCCTCTTCCACCACCCACCCTCTTCCACCACCCACCCTCTTCCACCTTCTTTTCACCCTCTTCCACCTTCCACCCTTTTCCACCACTCCACCCTCTTCCACCTTCTTCCACCCTCTCTTCCACCACCCACCCTCTTCCACCACCCACCCTCTTTCACCACCCAATCTTCTTCCACCCACCCACCCTCTCTTTCCACAACCCACCCTCTTCCACCACACCCACCCTCTTCCACCACCCACCCTCTTTCCACCACCCACCCTCTTTCACCACCCACCCTCTTCCACCACCCACCCTCTCTTCCACCACCCACCTTCTTCCACCACCCACCTTCTTCCACCTTCTTCCCCACTCTCTTCACCACCCACCCTCTTCCACCACCCACCTTCTTTTCCACCACCCACCCTCTTCTACCACCCACCCTCTTCCACCTTCCACCTCTTCTACCATCCACCACCCACCCTCCACTCCTCTCGTGTTGACGGCAGAGTGTCGGCTCCTCGCCCACCATCCGTACAAGATTTATCAGCAGGTTGTGTCAGCATCACCCAGGTGCCCATCATGCACCTGGCAGCCTTGTGTACTTCCTAGTCTCCCTTTATACACACACACACACACACACACTCACACACACACACACACACACACACTCACACACACACACACACACACACACTACATACACACACACACACACATTGCACTAAGCTGGGCCCCTGTCGTCCGGTGTATCTTAAACATAAACAGGTATCAAATCTTGGAGGAAAACGAACGCTTTTGATTGGTTAATCTGGTAATCAAGGAGAAACGAATCCCTGTCAAAACCAACATGACGTATGAGAGAAAGTTAAACAGTGCGACTCGGGTGTCAGGAGTTAGTGAATCAACCAATCAGAAGCCCATCCCTCCTCCTCCCCCCGAGCAGTGAATACCTGTTGTGTATGGATGAGACAACACGGACAACAGTGAACCAGTTGACCTGTAGGTAGTTTTAACTCTTGGTGTCCACAACTGGCCAGATGACTGCTGCCCAAATTATAGGTACAACTGGTGATGTCTCAAGAGGGTCCACGGGTCACAGGTCCACGGGTCACAGGTACACTGGTCACAGGCCAAAAGTCACAGGTACAAAAGTCACAGGTCCACGGGTCACAGGCCAGGGTACAAAGACACAGGTCCACCGGTCACAGGTACACAGGTCACAGGTCCACGGGTCACAGGTCCACGGGTCACAGGTCACAGGTACAAAGACACAGGTCCACCGGTCACAGGTACACAGACTACAGGTACACAGGTCAACGGTCACAGGAACACAGGTCACTGGTCACATGTATACAGGCCACAGGTACACAGGTACACAGGTCACAGGTCACAGGTCCACAGGTACAAAAGTCACAGGTCCATGGGTCACAGGTACACAGTCACAGGCTCACAGATCACAGGTACAAAGACACGAGTCCACTGGTCACAGGCCCACCGGTCACAGGTACACAGGCACACAGGTTCACAGGTCCACAGGTCCACAGGTACAAAAGACACAGGTCCACTGGTCACAGGCCCACGGGTCACAGGTACACAGGTACACACAGGTTCACAGGTCCACAGGTCCACAGGTACAAAGACACAGGTCCACCGGTCACAGGTACACAGGTACACACAGGTTCACAGGTCCACAGGTCCACAGGTACAAAGACACAGGTCCACTGGTCACAGGTCCACAGGTCACAGGTACACAGGTCCACGGGTCACAGGTCACAGGTACAAAAGACACAGGTCCACCGGTCACAGGTCCACAGGTCACAGGTCCACAGGTCCACGGGTCACAGGTCACAGGTACAAAAGACACAGGTCCACCGGTCACAGGTCCACAGGTCACAGGTACACAGGTCCACAGGTCACAGGTCACAGGCAAAAGACACAGGTCCACCGGTCACAGGTCCACAGGTCACAGGTACACAGGTCCACGGGTCACAGGTCACAGGTACAAAAGACACAGGTCCACCGGTCACAGGTACACAGGTCCACGGGTCACAGGTCAGCACAAAAGACACAGGTCCACTGGTCACAGGTCCACAGGTCACAGGTGTACACAGGGTCCACGGGCCGTGTCACAGGCACAAAAGACACAGGTCCACCTGGTCACAGGTCCACAGGTCACAGGTACACAGGTCCACGGGTCACAGGTCACAGGTACAAAAGACACAGGTCCACCGGTCACAGGTACACAGGTCACAGGTACACAGGTCACAGGTCCACAGGCACAGAACACAGGTCCACGGGTCACAGGTCACAGGTACAAAGACACAGGTCCACCGTCACAGGTCCACCGGTCACAGGTACACAGGTCACAGGTCCACCTGGTCACAGGTCACAGGTACAAAAGACACAGGTCCACCGGTCACAGGTCACAGGTACAAAGACTACAGGTCCACTGGTCACAGGTCCACTGGTCACAGGTACACAGGTCACAGGTCCACGGGTCACAGATCCACGGGTCACAGGTACACAGGTCCACGGGTCACAGGTCACAGGTACAAAAGACACAGGTCCATGGGCCAGGTCACAGGTACAAAAGACACAGGTCCACCGGTCACAGGTCCACAGGTCACAGGTACACAGGTCCACGGGTCACAGGTCACAGGTACAAAAGACACAGGTCCACCGGTCACAGGTACACAGGCCACAGGTCCACAGGTACACAGATCACAGGTCCACGGTCACAGGTACACAGGCTACAGGCACACAGGTACACAGGTCAAAGGTACACAGGTACAAAAAGTCACAGGTCCACGGGTCACCAGTACACAGGTTACAGGTCCACGGGTCACAGGTCACAGGTACAAAAGACACAGGTCCACGGTCACAGGTACAGGTCACAGGTCCACAGGTCCACGGGTCACAGGTCACAGGTACAAAAGACACAGGTCCACCGGTCACAGGCACACAGGTCACAGGTCCACAGGCACAGGTCCACAGGTCCACGGGTCAGTGAACACAGGTCACCGGTCACATGTATACAGGTCACAGGTACACACAGGTACAGGGTCACAGGTACACAGGTCACAGGTACACAGGTCACAGGTCACAGGTACACAGGCAAAGCCTGGTCCACGGTCTCAGGTACACAGATCAGGCACACAGGTACATAGGTCCAAAAAGTACACAGGTCCACAGGTACAAAAGTCACAGGTGCACAAGACACAGGTCCACCGGTCAAATCCACAGGTACAAAAGTCACATGTCCACAGGTCACAGGTACACAGATCACAGGTCCACGGTCACAGGTACACAGGTCACAGGTACACACAGGTACACAGGTCACAGGCCACAGGTACAAAAGTCACAGGTCCACGGTCACAGGTACACAGGTCACAGGTTCACAGATCACAGGTACACAGGTCACAGGTACACACAGGTACACAGGTCAAAGGTACACAGGTCACAGGTTCACAGATCACAGGTACAGGCACACAGGTACACAGGTCAAAGGCACACAGGTACAAAGTCACAGGTCCACGGTCACAGGTACACAGGTCACAGGTACACACAGGTACACAGAGGTCAGGTACACAGGTACAAAAGTCACAGGTCCACGGTCACAGGTACACAGGTCACAGGTTCACAGATCACAGGTACAAAAGTCACAGGTCCACGGGTCACAGGTACACAGGTTACAGGTCAAACCAACCTCTATCTCTCTCTCCCTCTCTTCAAACTCTCCCTCAGTCCCAACTCACTCGCCCTCACTCTCCCTCACTCTCTCCCTCACTCACCCACTCTCCATCACTCTTACTTTCTCCTTCATTCTCACTCCATCACACTCTCCCGCACTCAATCTCGCTCTCACTCACTCACTCACACTCTCCCCACACTCATTTACACACTCCCTTTCACTCACTCACTCGCTCATTCGCAGTTCACACCCACACACACACACACACACACACACACCCACACACACACACACACAGTCTTCATTATCACCGTATTGCTGCAGGCATAGAGCTAGCTGGTGAAGTGGCCAGGCCATTATCAGATATAATGGCCATGGTTGGTTTATACAATGCTAGACGTCCATTACAATAATTAAACGTATAAAAATTATGGTAATTACGTTATGTTAGGATTAGGTTAGAATTAGGTTAGGTTAGGTTAGGTTAGGTTAGAATTAGGTTAGTTAGGTTAGGTTAGGTTAGGTTAGGTTAAGTAAACTGAAGAATAATTCATATATTCATATTTTATGAGTCATGATTCACACACCAAGCTCAAGTGTTCGTCTTTGTTAATATCTGATCAGCGTTCGAGTCCCATTACTAATTCTTATATTTATTTATTGACTATTATAACATCTGCCTTGTATAGTTTATTTGTTAATTTATTTTTATGGCTCTCTTGGTATTTATTTCTTACTTGTTCTTGTTTTATTGTTTGTTCATCTTATATTTACATGTTTATTGAGGGTTATCTTGAGTCTTCGTTGAATTCTTTAGTGGTGAAGTTCATTAATTGTTTTATTTTTATACAGACAGCAGACGCCAAGTGTTCAACAGACGATGATTATATTAGCCCTCGTCTGTGACTGTCTGTGTTTATGTTTTTGTATCTGTCTGTGTCTGTTTGTGTCTGTTTGTGTCTGTTTGTGTCTGTATATTTTCTGTGTATGTTTTTATCTGTTTAAGAACTAATTGAAAAATATGTGAACTATATGTTGTGAGACTCGGGAAGGAGCACGAGGCTGTGTGTGTGTGTGTGTGTGTGTGTGTGTGTGTGTGTGTGTGTATACAGGCGACGTTAATAGTGTGTGTGTGTGTGTGGGTGTGTGTTCAGGCGACGTTAATAGTGTGTGTGTTCAGGCGACGTTAATAGTGTGTGTGTGTGTGTGTGTGTGTTCAGGCGACGTTAATAGTGTGTGTGTGTGGGTGTGTGTTCAGGCGACGTTAATAGTGTGTGTGTGTGTGGGTGTGTGTCAGGCGACGTTAATAGTGTGTGTGTGTTCAGGCGACGTTTATTAGTGTGTGTGCAAGAGACGTTTATAGTGTGTATTGTAAACAGGAGACGTTAATAATGTGTGTGTGTGTGTGTGTGTGTGTGTGCATTCTAAATCACTTTACATATTTACTCGTAATAAATGTCTCATGTTTAAATACTTTTTCAACAATATTTCTCCCTATTATATGTAAACTAACCATTAACCTAACCTAACCTAACCTAACCTAACCTAACCTAACCATTAACCTAACCTAACCTAACCATTAACCTAACCTAACCACAAATTAATATACTAGTTTAATTGCATTTATTTGGGTATGTTAGTGTAACGGCTGCCCCTCGTGTGCCGAGGATGGCCGGCCCAAGGGCCACCTAGACGTGAATTTGTTTAAAGTTGTAGAAGCTGTCGCCAACACAACAACCACACCCTGAATTAACGAGCTGCATGACCCAGTGTCAAGGAATAGTCGGAGAAGACCGGACAACTCGTCAACTGCACTGGCTAACCAATCCCCGGAACACGATCCGTAAATCTATTAACATCAGGTTCCCCATTACTGCTGGGTAGACAGAGGCAAATGGCGTACAAACTTGCCCATAGTTTCACCCTGCCAGGGCGAAACCTGGTCTGCTCTCTTGCGAGGCGAGCATGTTGACCATTACACCACAGGTCGCCACATATGTTAAGTTGTTTATTGTAAGGTGTTTAAGATGCACTGAATAGCTAATGCCGTAGGCATTCTGTCTGCTCAGACGCTGCTTTTGAGTTGTGAGCATGACACTTTCAGACTGTAAAGCTAACACCTCGATCAGGCATTAGCATTGTACGCTTAAACGGCCCAAATACCTAACAACCAATCAGCGATTTCTCCCATTGAAAATACGCGGATCATGGCCGCTTGTGGAGAATATTTTGATTAATATTGAAGAGTTGGGGGCATGTAAGGCAATAAAAAACTGTGATATAATAATAATAAAAATAATTCTATATACGGTTGTAACAATATTGATAATTACTCAAATTTGATTAGAACCTTAATATCATTATTCATAAGAAGCTTTAAATAAGGGTGAACAAGTTGATTACAGTTCTGTAAGTGCAAAAATTCCTGATATTCCTCGTATTTCGTGTAAAAATATGGGAACACCTTGGTGCGTGAGACTGACACCCATATTATTAAACAACATCTTCCCTTGAAGAGGGTCGTCGTGTTTCAACCCGAGTTTTAAACTAAATGAGCCCTGAGGGACACCTCAGTACAGTACTTAACGGGCAATAGTCTTTGAAGAGTGTGGTGTCAGAGTCCTGGAGAATTTACCTTCACAACGGGCCCGATTTTTTGTGTTAATCTTATTTATTGTTGACTGATTGACTTTTTTTTCCATTTTTGTCTTTCTTTCCATAATTTTCTATATATTTTCTTCACTGTTTCTTTCCTTATTGTGTTCAAATGCCAGTTCTCCTAATTGTATTGTTTTCTGGAGGCTGTTTTGTTCAACAGCTATTCCCAATGACGCAGTACAATCAAAGACCATCTCTAAAGAAAGACAGGAAAGGTTCCTATCACGCATCACAAATAAGTGTAACCATAACGATGCCAAATACCTCCAGAAATTAGATCTGCTTACAGCGCCATCTATTGAGCGAACGAAAAAAATAGTTTAGGGGCTACGGATACTCCCATTATTCCATTGTAATCATCATGACCTTTAAGATATTACTTCATGTTTCTTAGGCCCAATAATTAAAATCGATTATATAAAAGTAAATCAGCAAACCCATAATACGTAGTTTTATTAGTGTACTAAGATTATGAATTTATCATGTTACTTGCTGAATTCGAATGCTTTCACCAGGAACATTTTTTTTATAATATTACATATAATTTTGTGATGAAATTATACTTTAGTGTATAGGATACCTACAGTATTGTGTACGTCTTACAACGTTTACATGTATACCTATACCTACAGTATCTGTATATTAATATCTGGTCCTTTCTGTAAGCACTTCTATGCAATTATTTTAATTCAGATAAAATATCTATATCTTGATAAGATAAAACTCACTCAGCAAATGTTCTCCCCACAAGTATTTTGGTCAGTCAGTTTCTCATTCATTATTTTGTTTAATTTACAGTTAACATAATTATATAATATGGGAGAAATTAAATAAGATTCAGGAGATTACATATTTATTTGTGAAGGGCAAATAACTAATAATTATAACAAAATAGAATTACACGAAGAACAAAATGCGGATGTGAAAAAACAATCCCCCAAATAAATGCAATATTTTGATAAGCATATATCCTAATACCATACTAGCAATGCATGACCCATACACTCACATCAGCATTCATTTTGTTTATAAAGCTTTACTATAATTGTCCAAAAACTTTTACAATTAAAACACATACGGTATCTCACCTGGTAAATTTTGGTCTGGGTAATACATGACTGAATAACCTTGTTGAAGTTTAATAATTTGCCTCCTAAAGATGGTGGCTACAGTACCTACCCTGTAGCTTCGATTTAATTGATTTGGATTCTTGCCCAGAATGGATTGACTTTGTGAGATTACTTTCCATTTTTGACACCTGAGGAAATGCGGAACATTAGATACCGGTAGTGTTCCGTTATCTAAAGTTACTTACATTTATTGAACTTTAACTCCATTTACTGAAAATAACTGAGATACACTGTTACATCTGTGTATCATTTGGAAAGAGATGGTATATAAATTACGGCTGAGTATCTTTCCCTCTTCTGCATATAACGCAGGTGCCTCCACCAACCTTGGGTGTCTTCAACTAACATCATTCGGGTAGCAATCAGCTGATTCACCAATGTAAACCTGCAGCTTTGAGGCAGACGACGCACTTCCAGTCTCCCACACTAGCGCCCTCATGAAGCGGACGAAGGCTCTAAGGAGTAATCAGTTCGCCTTTTCTACACCTTTTTTCGGACCTTTCCTGTATTTCTTTAGATGGTC